GACCCCATGAACACGAATATCACAATCGCTTGCCACGAAACTGCCTGGCGCCCGCGCCACAGGCGCCGGCGCCAAAATGTCCTAGGTCATCAAATTCGCTGAAAACATGTCTCTTAGGCTAGTTCGACCCCTGAACAAGAATATCATATCCACTTAACGGCTTGAGGACGATTTCCGTCAATTTCGATTTCCGTCTGAAGCGCAATGAAAGTGATCACCTGCGGTGAGAGCAGCAATCGCTGGCATCGAGGTAAGTAGTGGGAAATTCCATGGCGCAATCACCAGCACCATTCCAAATGGTTCCTTTACCAACATCACTTCATCTTTATCAGCATCCAGTTGCGGTGGCTTAGCGACTATTGTCGGTGCGCTCCATTCATCGAGATGTTCCAGTTTTTCGTCAATCTCTTTCATAGCCCATGTGACCTCGAATGATGGGTCCTGAAGCAAAGTGGTGATCTTTGTTACAAAGGCTCTAATCTAGAAAGGAGAGGTAAAAGCATGGATAGGCTGCGCGCTGACTGGAGAACGTTGCTCAATATGGTTCTGGTACAGGAGGGCATTGAGAAGTTGACAACTACACGTTCGCATGCATACCCTCCGTATCCAGAATATGAGAAAGGCGTGGCTGTGCCATCCAATTGAGAATGGCGCAGGATGCGTTTTTTGCGGAGTATACAGCTGTAACAATGCCTTACGCTAGAAAAGAAAACGCGCTCAAAAATGAAAACGTTACACCAGGAAAGCACCCGTCGCCACAGTCAAATAGATGACGTAGCCACACCCACTCCATCTCGGTGAGAAGGAGAGCAAGTCTCCCCATTTTGGGATGCGAAACGCATTCTACTTCCATTCAGAATCGTAGTGGCTTATTGAATGCGATGTGGCCTATACAATGACTTGCGGGGCCAGCCGATGTACAAGTCAGTGTTCTTATCCTCCCAGACGAATCTGGTACCAATTCACCGTCCCCGGAGGGTAGAAGGCTTGGTTGGCCTGGGCGGGAGTCGACCCGGGATTTGAACCCGGCATCCGCGAGTGGTGAGCGCGCCGCTTATCACAACCCGGCCCTAGCTATTAGAGTGATTATGAGCGTAGAGTGAGTGCAGGCGAGTACGAGGCAGCGTTCAGACTTCGCGACGGCAGCACTTCGGTCGCGCGTTCGACGCGATCGATGCAGTTGAAAGCATGCGCATCGATCGCGTTGAACGCGCGACCGAAACGCTGCCTTCGCGAAGTCTGATCGCTGCATAATGTAAATGTGATGACGACATTGCAGTTGAAGTTGTACTTTGAATGCTCCTAGGGACGTGGATACGAACTGTAACGTTGGTAGGCTACGCCCCCTTCTTCTACTTCCCATAATCATGCGCCAGGTTACATTATACCGTTTCTCATACGAGAAGAGTTTACATCGCGCGAGGTCTGACGAGTACAACTCACTCTTCCAAGATCCTTATGAATTGCTGCTTCGAGCTGCTCGCGGTTTTCTTCCAACAATTTCTTCATTGTCTGCAACGTCTTCCGTCGTGCTTTAAGACATTTGGTGGCACCAGTTTTGAAGTAGGCTCTTTGGCCATCGAGTAACTGAAAAAAGCATCATCTAGGGAACAAACATAGAGGCCCTTTCCTAGAAGGTGGTACATTCAGATGCAATAGTTTCTGGTTACTGCACTAATCCCAACTCTGCGCGAGAAACCTTGTGAAACTATGAATTGCTACGAGTTTTGCTTTCACCCAACCTCCTGAACTTTTCTGTGTTGGTGAGCATTTATTCTTGTAGGGTGCAAATGGAACATCGGTAGCCAGACTCTTTTGTGAATCTGTAGATGCCAATAGATCCACCAGTAAAGATAGAAGGCAAAACCTGTCGAAAGTGTCCCAGGCAAGCAGGCGAACTTAGCATCGAATAAGTGTGAATAAGGGCCCGAAGACAGACAGCAGGCAGGAGAGAAACCATTCGGTTCGGACTATAGGGAACACTTCAGAGAAAAAAAACTCCTGGGCCAGAATGGGTGAGCTATGCTGGAAAAATGCTGTCAGGATTGAATTCTGACCTTTGATGATCGCATCGTGCAGTTTTTGGTGGTTAAAGACAGTCTCCGCCCTCAAGTGATTTGAAGGTGTCTTCCTTTGTACAAGTAGCTTGCTGAGATAATCCCAGTTTCGCGGCTTCTCAGTGGGTGATAAAGGCGCTACGGCCCTCATAAGTGGCCTTTCTGATGCCTCCCTAGTTGTGCCGCCACCGAAACTGAAGGACAACTTCTGTTCCTAATTCAGTTTTTACCCCGTGTTTTTCGTTTTTTTCCCTCACTTTCCTTATATAGTATCAGCACTGAATGACGCGAGGGCGATCAGTGAGCCAGAGGCGGCAGGATATTGCTTTCGCTGGCATAAAAGGGCAGGTCCGGAAAACTCGTCCAGAAAGAC